CCCCTGCGGAAGATTACCGCAGAAAATGTTGTAAATTGTATGTATAAAGAATACTTTTGCAGGTATGGCATGCCTAAAACGTTAATATCCGATAATGGGCCACAATTCATTTCTCACCTCCTAGCGGAAGTTTGTGACCGCACCGGAATTAAGCATATTCTGACGACGCCATATCATCCTCAGTCGAGTTTTACGGAGGGAGTGAACCGCACCTTGGGTAGGATGATTGCGGCATACATCGAGGGGAACCATGGGGAATGGGACACCCATGTATCAGAATTGGCGCTGGCATTGCGAACTTCGGAACAGGATTCGACAAAGTATACGCCAGCTAAACTACATCTCGGGAGAGAGATTGCACTCCCGTGGGACCGCCTGACGTCTTATCCAAGTCGCCCTACGACTATTAGAGAAAAATGGGCAGAATTGCAACAGATAAGAAAACAAGCCCGAGACAACGTGCGAACTGCGCAACAAAAACAGAGAAGGGCTTACAATTTGAGAAGGCGGCCAGATACATTCAAGGTGGGTTCATTAGTTGTCTTAAAAGCTCACCCTATTTCTTCTTCTAGTCGATGCTTCAGCGCTAAATTGGCACCTAAGTGGTCAGGACCTTACGAGATCGCTAAGATTATCTCGCCAGTAGTCTACGAGATAAAAGATCCCCACACTGGGGCCAGCCACGGAAGTCAACATATCGCTAATATTAAGCGATACACACTTTTTCCGAAGAGGAAAATTACTACACCCCTACCCGAAACCGATGGGGGCAACGATAGAGGATCACGCTCCGTTACGGGATCGTCGATGGATCACGGAACATTCTCGCCGTCCATCGCCGGAGCAAGACCGTCTGGAGTCATCCAGCGACGATTACGACCGACACAACGAGTGGATTACAGACAACTCGCCGGTCTCACAAGGAAGCCGAGAGCTCAAAGATAGAGAAGGAAACCATAGGTGAATATAGTTTTCTTTACAGATGGTCCTTGACCAAACTAATTGTAATCCAAGGATCCCTAGAGGGGAAGGGATTTTGGTTAAACGGGGGGGAGTTTAAAAAAAAAAAAGTTTTTCTCACGATAACGGACTGGGGTAACCATTCACTAAAACAATTAACAATGCTAAACTATAACCGACAATCAGTCCGTAGCGTGAAGAAAGATAATAAATCGTTAGGAAAAATTTTGGGGTTAACGCTTCACCCCAGTTCACGCCAAACAAGAGCGTGAAAATGGCAACAAGCCTTGGAACTCGTATGTGATTCTATGTCAACATTTTCCCCAATTGTATAACTAAGTTAAAATAAATTTATTAAGCAACGAGTCACTCTCGCTTATGTCAAATCACTGTAAGGGATGTATTTAATTGTAAACCTGGCAGCAATTGTATATAAGGCGCACTCCTTTAGAAGAGAAGAGTTGGAGATTTTTGGCTTTAAATGAAAAGAGAAATAAATTTCTCTTTAATCTAAAGGGGAAGGGGTGTAAGGAACCAAGTCTGAGCTTTATTTTTATTTTACTTTTATTTTGCTTTCATTATATTTTGTTTGGGGCTTATGTTTAGTTAAGACGAAGGTTTCCTCACCATTCACCTTAGTAACTTAAAAATAGAAGAAAAACCAACTCACCGACGAAAGAAAAGCGCCGTAGAAAAACTCGCGCACACTTGCGCTTCCCAAGCGGAAAAAAGTAAGTCCGCACCGAGAAAAAGGGGGGGGAGACCCCACAACCCAGTTAGGAATCGCTAAACCTTAAAATAATAAAGCATCCCGATAATTGTTAAAAAGAATAATGTAAAAGGTTAGCGAAGTATTGTCGGAAAATAATCTGCCAGATAAACGAGAAAAATTTAATGTTACAGATAAGTATGTAAATGAGGAGAGTGAGCTCATTCAGAATTGTGACGTCACCTCACACTATAAAGCCTCTAACTCAAGTGAAAACGAACGAGGTGAATTCCTGATAGCAACGAGCTTTGGTGAGCTTCGTAGCAGTGAACGAGAGAGGTGTCCGATAGGATTTTGAAGTTATTCGATTTGTGGATCGACGATTATAGAAAGTCTTGAGAGTTTGAGGAAATAGGTTCCTAGTATATTGAGGTGACGATTAGGATCTTTAATTTATAAGAATTATTGTTTATAAGTTAATTCTTTGATTTTGTCGAATTCCAAAGGGGAATAGAATTAAGTTAGAAATAGATTGATTTGAGTTTGTCGGATTGATTCTTGTTGAGTTTCATTGAATAAATTATTGTTTGATTTTTACTAAATACTGTATAGAGTTTATTAATAGAAGTTTAATTAAATATTTGATTTTGTTATTGACAAACTTTGTCATTATTTAATTCGGTGCACGCTTAAAGTCCAGGCCTGGCACACTAACGCGAATCCGCGTAAAGTACCCGTTAGGGAACGGCTATTTCCGGCACACAGTAGTGTCGATAATCGTTGGAAAGTTGGAAAAATAATATAGTACTTTACAGTGTAACATTTTTTGGAACAGTAGAGAGAATTTTTTCATTTTTTTCTGGTTCCACTAGCTGCTGGGAAGTGCTTCTTAAACACAGCAAAGCATCTGTTAAAAGACTCTCAACGTGTTGGAGTGCTCATTATGCTGCAGTAAAAGTATTGGCTGAAAATTTTGATGGGATTGTGGCTGCAATTGAGAAATTATGTGATCAACAAGAAAATTTAGACACCAGAGGTGCAGCACAGAACCTTATGCCTGCTGTGTGTGATTTCACATTTCTTTGTTATCTTTTCTTTTGGAATGATGTACTAAGGGAAATAAATTGTGCTTAGATTGATCAACACCCAAGCCTTTACTATGCAGTGCAATTAGCAATAAAAATAGAGGCACTTCGTCTTTATATTGAAGAAAAACAGAGTCATATTGTAGAAGAGGCAATAGATCTTGCTGTGAAAAAATTGGAGGACTACGACATTCCAATAGAAAGACGAATTCATCATAAAATACGAATAGCCAGTGAGTTGGCCGCCGATGCAGTACTCACACTGAGAGCTGAACTTCAAAAGGATATGTTGGAATGTCTTGACTGATTCAGTATTGAACTCCATACTAGATCGAAGTCCATTCAAGATGTAGCTTCATTATTCGAGGTTGTGCAGACAAATACTTTGCTTTTGGCGAACATTTAAGAGTTGAGATTAGCTGTATCAAAATTTACTGGTTTTTATGATGAGGTATCAGAAGGAGAACAATTAGAGATACCAAGGTTGAGAAGACATTTAAAAGCGGCCAATGTTACAGTTTCTAATTGGGTGTCTCTAGACTTGTTGAAATTCACAGTGGAAAGGGATTTTACAGAATCTCTTCTGAATCTTATGGTTGCACTAAAGTTATTTCTGACAATTTGCTTATCAGTTGCTTTGTGTGAAGAGGAGTTTCAGCAAACTAAAATTAATTAAAAGTTACTTTCGGGCAACAATGAGACTTAACAATCTTGGCATATTAACAATAGAACATGAGTCAACACAAAATATAAATTTTGAAGATATGATTTCCGAGTTTGCAGCTGTTAAAAGCTCTTTTTTTCTAGTTTTAAGTGTTTGTACATAATATGTATATGAGAGTATATTAATTCTACTCTCATTCTCTTTTTTGCCATACCCAAGTTTCATACATCAATATGAAAGAACGTTTAATAAAACTGTACTATTATTATCATAATTTTGTAATATGATAATTAATGACTCTTATTTGTATTAATTAAATAAAATCATACTTTACGTTTATCAGATTTTTATTAATTTTAACAGTTTTCATTCTTGGGGAGACACCACGATATCCGCACCAGGTGCCACCCATGCTAGCTACGCCATTGCACACACATTATTTTTTGGATGTTATTTATTATTGTCTGAAACTTTGAGGAACATTTAATTACAGCATTTTTTCATTTATTATATTTGAATGCATACATTTATTACATTTGAATGAATGCAATAGAGATATTTATTTAATTTCTAAGACTACTTTTTATGCTTTCATTTTATTTGCTTCTATAAAATATTTCATGTTGAGTAAATATATTTGCATTTTTTAAATNAAAGTAATTGTTATAACTGTTAATACATTCATCCCTTGTGAGATGAGATGGTCAATGCCTTCATGGAATAATGTTTGTGGTTGCCTACGGAACCATGATTGTATCCAGGCGTGCATCTCTTCGTCTGAAGCAAATTGATGGCCACGAATGTCTTTCTTCGGGGCTCTAAAAATATGGAAATCAATGGGGAGAGATAGAGACTGTATGGAAGATGTATAAGGGCTTCCCAGCAAAACTTCTGCAGTGTAGTTGAAACAACCTTGGCAACATGTCAGTGGGCATTATCCTGCAATGGAATGATGCCATCCGTCAACATTCCTGGGTATTTGGACTTGACGGCACGCTTCAAGTTTCACTGGGAAGCCTTTACACATCCTCCATACAGTCCCAATCTCTCCCTATGCGATTTCCATATTTTTGGAGCCCTGAAGAAAGACATTCATGGCCATCAATTTGCTTTGAATGAAGAGAAGCATGCCTGGGTATAATCATGGTTTTGTAGGCAATGCAAACATTATTCCATGAAGGCATTGACCATCAGACAAGATGGTCCCATCCCACTGAAGATCATCCCACTGTGAGACAACACAGTGGGATGAATTTATTAATAGTTATGACAATTACTTTTGAAATAATAAACAGTTTACTTACTTTTTTCCCATCTGTCTCATTTTCATTTGACTGCCCCTTATATTTTGGAATTATGTTTGATAGCACACCTGACATTTCACATATTAACAAATTACTTCAGACATTTGATCATGTGAAAATTGATAATAGAAAAGTGGAAGTCAAAGAAGTATTCCTTGGATTTTTTTCTTTACAAGGAAAAAAAGCCGCTGATTTAAGTGATGAAATTCTTAAGAAGCTTGAAAATGACGGTTTAGATGTTATGATGTGTTGTCCCCAAGGTTATGATAATGCAGCTGTTATGAGCAGCATACATGGAGGAGTGCAAGCTATTATTAAAGCAAAAAACAACAAAGCGAATTTTGTTGGATGTATTCGCGTTTTTCACCGGATGCTCGCCCTCTGGTGTTTAAAAACAGAAATACTCTATCTGGGTCATTCGAATGTTCTTCGTATATTGTCAACAGTAAAGATGAATAGTAAAAATAAAAGTAAAGCTTTCTGTTGTGTTCCAACTTCTAATTACAAAGCCATACGCGATCCCGATATAAGTTTTCATGTATTCCCATATGAAAAACAGATGATTTTTCGTAAATCAGAATTCGGAGAATCTCAGAAATGTAACCGACGGAAAGAGTGGATTCGACTGCTAAGAATTGGCAAAAAAGTTACGAAATATATNTATGAAAGAACGTTTAATAAAACTGTACTATTATTATCATAATTTTGTAATATGATAATTAATGACTCTTATTTGTATTAATTAAATAAAATCATACTTTACGTTTATCAGATTTTTATTAATTTTAACAGTTTTCATTCTTGGGGAGACACCACGATATCCGCACCAGGTGCCACCCATGCTAGCTACGCCATTGCACACACATTATTTTTTGGATGTTATTTATTATTGTCTGAAACTTTGAGGAACATTTAATTACAGCATTTTTTCATTTATTATATTTGAATGCATACATTTATTACATTTGAATGAATGCAATAGAGATATTTATTTAATTTCTAAGACTACTTTTTATGCTTTCATTTTATTTGCTTCTATAAAATATTTCATGTTGAGTAAATATATTTGCATTTTTTAAATCAGATTAAAATTTAATTTAGTCAATCATATATTTAAATATATTTAATTTTATAATTAATTAAATATAACTGATTAAATATTAAGCAGATGTAACAATATTTTTGAATGATTGCAATACCTACCACTTTTGAAACTGAGGAAT